CCCAGTGCAAAAAGAGCAGCCCAGCTGGGTGCTAACCTTGCCGTGTGCAGGGGAAGAAGAGAATGGGAGTAAAAGCACCATGCACGGAGTGACTGGGAAGGCACCTGCAGGTCGCGAGAGCTGGGGTAAGCTGAGTAAGCAGCGTCCGGCAGCAGCAGGAAGAAGGGAAGCAAAGGGAGCCGCTCTCATTTCCAGGCAGCGTTGTCAAAACCGTGCGGGAGAAATGTGACACCCCCCTCAGCTTCTTCATGTACTGCTGCTGCCGGTCGGTGTAATGTCCGTGTCTGTTTAACAGCCYGTCTTATCTATCTACCTACCTCACAGATGCAGCCTCTGAAGCTGGGCTCTCAGTGGGCAACATGGCTTTGCAGAGAGTAATTTGCCTCTCCCCTATTGAAGTGGGCTTTACATGCGTACATATATAAGTGCTTTGGAAAGATGCTTTGGAAAGAGAATCGTGTGGGCACCATCTTCCTTCCTCCCGCTTGCATTTCACATGGCAGGGTGAACYGCCCGAAACAGTCTGAGGCTCTATTATAGCCTAAGTCTGAAGGGAAAGATTTCTTTAAGGCTCAATAAAGAGCATGTTAACATCTTTTCCCTTATTCCTCCCTTATTCCCTGTTCCCTCCCCATACCTTTCCTTCTTCTTCCCTCTGGTGAAAGAGCAGCCTGGGGTGCCTGATATGAAACTTGTGGCATAAGCCCCTTCAAGGCAGGTGGTYATCAGAGACCAAGACTTGGTGCAACTGAGGCTGAACTGTGTTTGTATTTGAGCGGTAAACTCAAGCTTAGGAAAAGGAGAGGCTGATATCAATGCATGCTTCATAGATTTGGCTAGCTGTTAAGCTGCCCGCCAGCTTCCATGAGAGTGGAAAAGCAAGAGCAGGCTCTGCTGCTGATACCATGACACTGAAGTGTGATGGCAGCTTTAGGTAGTGCTGTCCACAATGTCGTGATGTAACTGAATTTATCTGGCCAGCTCTGATAAGGCTGAATTTGGTGCAGTTGTTTAGGACGTATTTGATTTTCTTCCATCGCTGCACCTACAAAATATACTAGCCCAACAGGAAATATAAAAAACCATCCTGAATGCTCTAGGAAAGAGAATGCTCATTGAARCAGGCAAGTCTTTCCTTAAATGAAATTTCTGAGATAGGATCCTGAAAAAAATACACATAAAATATCTTGCAGAGTTTATTGAATATAAAAGTGTATATACTTACATAAAGACACACAGGTAATATATATTTTAATGTAAGGAAAAATCAAAAGGAAAAAGAAGGACATAATAAAATACGTGCAACTTCTTAAATAAATCTTTGTCTGTGATTCTTACATTATGTTATCCAGAGCAATCATATCCCAGTGTCATTTTTCAGATCTGTGTAAGAAAACGTGAATCAGTGCAATTATCCTTGAATAGTTTTTTTTCCACAAAGACAATTTGCTTGTTCAAAGATGTGAGTGAACACATGCCTCAACAGCAAATCTTGTCATAATGTTTAATTGTTGTTATTAAATAGCTCTGTAGTCATAGGAAGCTATAATGACCTGTAACTYGAAAGATGCTTGACTAATCTTACTCATATTTTGCAAAAGATGCRGAACCCTGTACTTAGACAACGTGAGAAAATGTAGTAACAACAAAGAAACAAAAACATGGGTTATTTAAATATTAATAAGATCAAATAGATTTCACTGCTAACATTGGCACCCATTACTTTTGCATCTTTGCATATCTTAAGATATAAAAAGACATCAAAAAAACCCTCTTTCTCGCAGAGACATGTTCTCCATCTGACTGTGTATTCTTCAGGGACTGCATCCTAATACGTATTTCTATGGTGTCTGGTACAACACAGCTCCAAATTCAATTACGGCCTCTGTGTGCTACTGTTGAATTAATAATGAACAATAAAGACAATTAAAAGCTAAAGTTATGCGGTGAAAGAGGAAATAAAAGAAAAACTTACTGAGAGACTTTTTGGAAATCTCGTTATTTGCATTATTCACATACTATTTCCCCTGCTACGCTTACTGCTGTTCACGGCATACAGATAAATCCCATAAAGGCAAGTCCCATCACTGGATGATGTTGGCTGACTCTGCTCCTGTCTGTAACTTGCTAATCCAGGAGTTCCTGAGACGAAACCTGAGCAGGGAGGGAGCTAGAGGACAGGAGATAAATTATTCACTCCCGCTCCTTCGATGCAGGGAAATCAGATAGGGCCAGACTGAGGAAACTCTCAAGACTTGCCTAGATGTGGAAGTGCAGGAGGGCTTTGCTGTATAACTGGCTGGAAACATGATTGCTGCTGAAATGTCTTTCACAGGGCTCCTCGTCGGGCTGCCTCGGCCTCTCGCCCGGCCTGTCGGCAGGAGGATGAGGACAGAAGCACCGGGACCCGCGTGGATAGCGGGGCAGGAAGATGCACGGGTGGCCTGTCCCTCCCGCTCTGCTGATGAGCAGCGAGCAAAGAGGAGAGCAGACGTCCCTGCTGCTCCTGCATTTCCCGACGGAGAAGCCATCATGGGATCACGTGGGATAAGCAGAGCCCTGGCAGCTGTCGGAGTTTTCTTTTCTAATCCTGAGGGTTACACAGATGGTAAAGCGACTGGGAATCAACCACCAGCTAAAGAAGTATGTGGGTATYGCTCAGTGAGCAAAAATCACCATGCATCATGTCAGGAGCCTGGACCCATGCACCTCCTGATCAGGGATCCCAAAGGATCTGCACCGGCAAGGGACAAGATGTGGGAAATGGGGCTGGGCAGTGCTGTGCTCAACCAGCCTGTGTCTAGCAGCTGAAAACCAGGCACTTTGGGGAACACTCAGTCTGCTGATCAAAATATCCAGGTGTCTCGTTGCTTCTAGGTCAGCCAGACAGCTTTGACTGAATTAACACAGGCTGAGCTCGGGCTTTGGAAAACTGACATGCCACCAAGAATCAACCTGGCTGGTAAATGTGAGAGCCCAGCTCAGCTGGGAGCACTCAGCCCAGCACCGTGTGCACTGGTGATAGCCTCGTTCTGCTGCCTAAACCCCTCCAAGGGGCAAGCAGGAAAGTCACTAGCACCCCAAGGAAGCACAGAGAGCTGCCAGATGGTTGAGATGGTACTAGATATATCCAGGAGGCTTTCTGTGCAAAACAAGCCAAGTGCTGATGGAGAAAACCCACGTCTGTGACATCTAGAAGCTAAATAAACCAGGAATAAGCACATAGTTTGGGGGCGCTGTAAAGAACACAGGCCTTGATTAAATACTGCCTGTGGTAAAAAAGGGRATGAAAACCGAGGCTGGTGAAGACCAGGGTACCCTGGGCCAGGTGGGCTCATGTTGTGCCCACACAGGGCACCTCTCCATGGCATGTGTCCTCTTCTCTGCACAGGACAGGGGACAGAGGGACCACAGCACTGGCGCAGCAGCCGCCCGAGTCCCCMCCTCCAGGATGCTGACCTGTAATATGTGGCCTAAGTGCTGCACATTATGATCATATCGAGTTACTGCAAACATTAATTAAGCAGTTCAAGCAAACACGCAACAGAAGAGCCAAATGCTGCCACCAGCTGCACTCGTGTAACTGAGAGCTAAACCATTCGGCACTGCAAAGCTAGTTACCCATCCAGAGTGAGGTAATTAAGAAAAACACATCCAAGTGTTAAGCRGGCTTGACCAGCTTCTTCCCAGTGACCTTCCCCATCTCCCCTCCCCAACTCCAGTCTCCGCAGGTTAAGTAAAGTCCAGTACTGCAGGCTYTGCTGGAGGGAATCCGCACACTGACCTGTGTGAAAAAGTCCTTGTGGAGGGAGAGGTGCCTTGTGTGGAGGCAGTTTCTTTGCCTGCCCTGACTTGACAGGGAATGAGCAGGAGAGAGGCCTGCGTTTTGGCTCTCATGACRAGGGAACCCCCTAGGCAAACCTGCTGCTTTTGGGACATGCTGCTGGCTGGGTCTGTCTCCCTGAGACAGGCTGCTTATTCCCGGGTGCATTTTCTTCCCAGGAGGAGCCGTGCGTGGCTGCGGAGGCACCGCTCAGCCCGGAGCCCCACTCTGCCCTGCTGCAGGTGCCCCGTGAAGGACAGAGCAGAGCTGCTTGCTTCGACGAGTCCGAGTGCCACACCAGGGCAAGCTTCAAACCCTCTTTTCATCTACCTCGAACTCCCACACAGGACTCGGGAATGGAGGAGCTGATTCACAGACCTCACAGCAAAACCCAACTCAAACCGAGGCGGAACGAGCCAGCTAGAGCCAGCTAAGCGCCTTCCCCGGCAAAGCCCTCTGCCATTTGCTCTGTTGCTGCTGGATCCCAACACAGGTGTAGCCGGGAGGCGACGGGTGCCCTAAGCCGCCCAACTGGTCCTTCTGCTTTCCCCACCTGCACGTGCTCTGCAACGTGSAAAGGAAGGAAACGCTCGCGCTGAAAGGCGGATGTGCTCCGGCCTATATGGAGCGTGTGGATGTGCACCTAAGTAACTGAGGGTTTGCGGGTGTTTTTGGTGTTTTCCCTGTTGGTGTTTCCTGCACCCAGGAGGGGGGTGGCTTCAACCGGCTCCATCGGAGGAGTCACATCCATCAGAGGAGTCACATCCTCCATTTCCCGCCCTGTTCCTGGCAAAAAAGGCGTGCGGGGAAGCAGGCTGGGCCGCGGAGAAAGGCGATTCAGCCCGCAGCCTCTCAGCTTTGATGCGGGCCGCACTGGCGCTCATTCCCGGGGCGCCCCCAGCCCCGCACCCTGCACCCCGCACCCGCCACCCCAACGGCGCCCGCCACCCC